CCATGGCATAACATGATTGGCGACGAAAATACTACATTCTTTGTAGTAATATATCTCGAATATATAAATCGATACGAAATGCCAAACTGTTTGCAATGTTCGGTTTCAGTCTCGGTTTCGGTTTTCGGTCTAATATTCTTTGTAATAGTACAACGAATATTAGAACCGAATATTACAATTAGATGCTTATACATAGAAGCACATGTAGAAAGGTCAGGCATGGAGTCAGGAAAGTTAACGGTCCTTGTACTCCTAGATTTCAGTAACGGTTTTAACACCGTTGACTTTGAGTTCTCAGCTGAGTGCTCAGCTTTGGGATGACCCCGTAGGTAATTGACTGGTTTCATAGTTACCTGTTCGGCCGCAATCAACATATTCACCTTGAGGATTCTAGGTCTTCATGGTGTTCTACTGCTGCCGGCATACCCCAGGGTGGCGTTTTATCTCCTGTTCTCTTCACATTATTTATTAATTCTATTTCTCAAAGTCTATCTTCTTCTAATAGTCTTCTTCCTACCACCTTTACTCAGATGATCTTCAGATCTACACTCAGGCCTCTCTTGAAGATTTGCCTGACGCCAATAGAATAATTAACGACAATATGGCACGAATAGGTGACTGGAGTTCTAAATTTGATTTGCTGGTAAATCCGTCAAAAACACAGGTGAATATCATCGGTAGTACGCGTACCATTTTTAAAATTAACTGGACAAGTATTCCCCAAGTTTCTTTTCTAAATACGAAAATTCCTTTCTAACGCGATGTTAAAAACCTGGGGATTTGCATCGACAGTAACCTCTCCTGGAATAAACAATTGCAGTCGAAAGTTATTTGCTTCGGCGAGCTCCTTGAGGCGTCTTCGTAATTTCTTACCCACTAACACCAAAATTGCACTTTCAGTCTCTTCTTCTACCAATACTCTACTATGATAATGTCAGCTATCTAGATCTCACCCAAGAACAATTGGACAAGCTTGAGCGCCTTCAAAACCTTTCTATCAGATTTATACTTGGTTTGCGCAAGTACGATCATGTTTCTGAATTTCGTAGTAAGCACAAATGGCTTCCTATCCGCCTTCGCCGGAACACTCATATCCTTTCTTTATTATTTAATGTACTTTTTAATCCTGCTGCCCTTTTTTATTTTAGTTCCTGGGTGACAAACATTCGAAGTTCCTGAGATCATCGGAAAATCTTAAGCTCAGAATTTGTAAGCATTCCACTTGCTTCTATGACAAGTCTTTCACAATACAAGCGGCTTGGTTGTAGAGGTAGAATAGTATTGTCTATTTTTTCATATCATTATAGTGTATATTTTATGTAGTCTGTAAGTTATATTGATTATTTAATTAGTTTTCTTTTTTGTTTCTCTTCTATTTTAGTTTTCTTTTATTTCTTTTATTGTGCATCTACCACCCATTCCCAGATTATTTTCAAAAATTCCATGCAAAGGTTGTCTGAAAGAAATCGCCGCGTGTGATAAGAATGCCCATTGTATTCAAATTACTATTACAATTTATACAAGTTTTTTGTGTGTGCAATAAAGTATAAATAATAATAATAATAAGGGATGAATGAAAGTAGAGTAACAACTGAAGTATACAGAGCGAATAAGAGCGGGGCCGTCGGATGAGGGTGCCCTAGACGGACATATGGACCAGATTGCCAATACACATATTAAAGAAGGGCCAAATTAAAAGCACCCTGAACTGAGGAGCATGCATGAAAAGACTGGTGATTGTTGATGAAGTGAAAGTAGTATATAACAATCGTTCCATAGTTTCTGGCTACCCCATGGGAGACAGGCTTAAGATTATGTATGTAAATATTACAATCAGAGATTGTGACGTCATTATATCCCTCTCCATAGTCAAATTCGTCGCATAAATAAAGCAGGATTCTTGGAAAATAGCCAGAACAGCCCTTCGCCAAGGACTTTATTAGATTCGCACTCCGCTTTTATATTTCTTCTTATAAAGATTCCTTCGAAGATTGGATAAAGTACCTCTATATATGTTCTTGAATTTTTCCTCTAACAAGATACGGGCTTTTGATATAGGTAGGCTTACCTATATGTATATTTCTACTTTTTTTTAAGGGGGGAAAATCATCGGATGACTGCTCCCGCCTGGGTGAGGCGGAAGGGAGTGTCAGACTCTTACTGACTAAAAACCACCCCGTTCCTTCTCCTGCACGTCGAGCCGGAGCTCCGGTTACCCGTTAGGTTCTCCGCGACATGTATATTTCTACTAGGGTCTGTACTCTGCCACCGTCTCCGGCAGTTCCCGTGGGACAAAAAGTACCTAGCTTATATGTTATTCTAGGCCTTAATCTACCCCTGTTCCAAATTTCAATCCAATCCTTTCAGCCGTTTTGACAGATTGAGTAACAAACAAACACACAAACTCAAAGACTTTCTCATTTAAAGCCTTTCCCTTAAAACCTTTTCTTTTAATACCTCGTTGGTCGATTGGGAAGCTATAAGGTCTAGAATTGGATTCTCAACTGTAGCTCAGTTTTTACTTCGGTTTTCGAAAACTCCAAGTGATGATTTACTATCATGGTACTTGTCATTGTACAATTTAATAATTATAAATTGTTAAATTTGTTAACATTAATATATTAGTAGCATGCTTTTCTATATTAATGAAATTATTCAAGGGGCACGGTAGACTCGATCGAAAAATTACTTAAATAAGAAAACATTAAAAATATACATTTCGTTTTATTGATTCACTAGCTACTTCCACACGGTTTCACTCGCTCTGCTCGGCGTCTATTAATCGTAGCGTGATATTTTATAGCCTATAGCCTTCCTAGATAAATGGGCTATCCACCACAGAAAGAATTTTTCAAATCGAATCAGTAGTTTCGGAGATTAGCGCGTTCAAACAAAAAACAAACTCTTCAGCTTGATAATATTAGTATAGATTCTAACGACACTGACAGACAAACCGCAGTCGCCATCTTGAGTAGACAATAAATGTTCCGTTTCATACTAACTCTCAAATACACCTCGCCAATCAATACGTTGTCACGTCAAAAAAGTATAAATAAACGAGAAATATGAATATTTTCATGCGAACGAAGTCGCGGGTAACAGCTAGTATACCAAATATACACATATCATGACGCCTTTTATTTCTCCAAAAGTAATAATTATCTTAAATATAACATAATATAAAATCATGCCTTTTATCCCCGAAGGGGTAGGCAGAGGTACACATTACGGAACTTAATCCCACTGTACAATGTAACACCCACTTTTCACTATTTGTGTTATGAGTCCCATGTAATAGGGGGTGAGCCTATTGCGATATACCGGGTACAATTCCAGACTCCGTGCTATTACTGAGATATTTTAAATATATATACTTACCTATAAATAATAGACATTTGCCAATGAAAAGTTACAGCGAACACAAGAATAGATAATGATGGAAAATAAAAGGTTTAGGAAACCTAAACCTAAAATCTGTAAAAAATCTTAATTTCACGTTGGTTGATAATAATAATAATATAATATAATTATATACATCTGACGCATAATTTTATGCTTGGTATTGTGTGTCAGATCAGTCAGCCTCACTTAATTGAGCTTATTGTAAACCTACACATGCGTACTGCAGTCAGAACGGGTCCGTTCAAGCTGTTGTGGTTCTGTACTCAAAGGCCACTACAGAATAAACTTGTATTTACACACAATCTTTTATCCTACATATTGTCTTGACTTTAAAAGCAACGGACCCCTGAGTTTGTTTCGGCATTTCTTCTCAAAGTAGTCAGTTAGGACATGTCGACCTTGAGAAAAAATTGACGTGTAAAAGTGCCTATAGCCTATTTGCAGAAGTAAGTTCACTTGTTTCACTTGAACTAAGAGGAACACTTAAACTAACCCCTTACCTGAACCTTCTGTCAGGGGTCATTTGTAGGTTAGTGAAAACCGAAATGTCGTTCTTAAGAAACCTCTAAGCTTTTACTGATGACAACGAGCATTAGTGTAGTAAATAACAGTCGTGAATGTATCGTGATATATAAATATATGATATAACACTTAAATAAGTAGATATTGTATAAAAATTTGATCTACTTACAATCAATTAAAACCGTGACATTTTTAGAAACCCCTTTATCGTATGACTATGTCTTTTAAATGTAATTGCATAGGTAACCATTTAATATACAGATAGAGATTGGTAGTTAGATATCCGTTATAAAAGAATAAAAGAAAAAATAAAGTTCCGCTCGTGTATGTTAAGATTAACATAAACCGTCTAATCTGCGATGTAATCGATTGCATAACCAACGCCATTCTTTTCTAAGATAAGGTTCCGTTATAAAATTGAATGGACGTCAATACGCAGATGGCCGTCATCGGCTCGTTGAATTTGTAACGGTCAGTGAATTATTAAACAAAATACAGTTGCAAAGGGGCCCACCGTGCACCCTGCACAGGTAAAGACACGTGGTCCTCGCAAACCGAGTGACTCACTACACACCGCCTCCTAACAAACATGACATTGATGGATATTCAAGTTTAACTATGATCACCACCTTTCTCAAAACAATTTATTTATTACTGAGATCTATTTCAAGGTTAATATTCGTATGTTACTAAACTGTTCGCGAATTTGACATTTAAAGATTTGAGTAACTATTTCGAAACGTCTTAACATATTTTTTCCGGTATTTACATACCATGTTTATGAAGCGGAGGCCGGTGTGGCGATGTGTAAGCCGGCCGGTGAGATGGTGCGAGCGTTGCGCGACTCGGAGGCTCTGACAGCGCATGCTCGCGCCCGCCACGGCGAACACATGCACGCTGCAGTCGCGGCTACGCGCGCCGCAGACCACACGCACCTAAGCATAATACACCACACTAAATAACAAAACACTCCTCTTATTAAATTACGATAACTAGCCCAAAGTTTATAACAAAAATATTATTTTAAATTATTAAACATTAGTTTATTGAAGTGCATAATAATATTAGTTATAAAAATGTGTAAAAATGTTGCCATAATGCCAATGAAAAAGAACGTGGATTCAGGTAAGTTTGATAAAACTTTTCTTAATTTCTGCGAAGTAATTGCATGTCGTTGGGTATATCACTTTAGCACCATTTTATTCTCGTGAAAAATATGATCGATTCATACGTTTTATGTGATTACTTATTGAGTACTTGTGTTATTTTATTACATTGTTAGAAAAAATATTTACCGGTTTATGCAATTATTCCTGTAGATTTGCTTTAACTCTCTTAAGAATCGCACATACCAAGTGTTGTGAATAATTTAATCCTGGTATTGTAATGATGCCGCTAATTCAAAATGTAATAATGTGTGTGAACATTTTTTATCAATTTCATAAGTATTTATTGTTTCGGGGTAAGTTGCATATTTCTTATTAATCTATACATATAGGTATACATTATGTGAATAAAAGAAATTCGTATTAGTTACACTATTAATAACTCAAGAATAACTAAATCGAATTGGCTGATAATTGGTGGGGAGGTAGATTAGATCCAGAAGGCTCACATAGGTCACTCAATATTCAAGGCTTTTACAAAATTCCTATGGGAACGGGAAAACCGGGATTGCGCGTACAAAGTCGCGGTCATAAGCTATATTTAAAGCGTATTGTTAACCCATTCTTCGCGTTCAAAGGTAATAAATTAAAAATTTCATCATTATAGGTCAACGAATAGTTTCGCGGGCTGACCAATTGTCTTAAATTAGGAACCCATTTGTTCGCATTAAGTGTCGTATGCGACTATTAATCGTCACGTCGATAGTGGTGAGGCGTGTAGTGGCATTGATCCGGCGTGATTGTCGATGGCAGAGAAGGCCCACACTTATCGGACGAATTAATTCTAATGTAGATCGTGTGAGGACGGTGTTATTACTAATATTGACGCCGTGGCTCCCGGCCGCGCTACTTGCCGCTCGGCTCCGACTCGGCTCCGCAGTGCCAACCCGTACATGCGCACAGTCGCACATATCAATGCACTGTTTTCCTTTTAAAAACATCGCGATATACCTACGAATCGTACACATTCTTCATCGTTCAAAAACAACGTAATGCGAACTACTTGCAAACGTTTTTATTAGTGTGGTATCTTGACACGCCGCCACTCATTACCGCCACTTGAATCCCGAACAATTTCCAGAAAAATGAAGTTGCCGAAATTGGATATGTGTGAGTTTGAATTAAGATTTGTCTTACCACTTTGTATAACATGTTTGTAATAATGTATATTATGTAAATATTGTATATTTATGGAGTCATGCACGCTCTGTGTCTAATTACATTGAATGCATTTCCTACATCTACATCTTTCTTTACATCATTTACTCGTTACAAGTACCAACCTATGCGCCAAATTGAAAAATTTTCAGGCTCGCATATTATGACATGTTAACCTGTTTTATACAATAGCTAACTTGTTTATTTAATAAGAACGTACCTGAAATACTGTCTGACAAATGTCTGTGGGGATGTTTAAGATACTAATAAATAACAAGGAGATATTTTTTAAACATAATATAAGGATATCCGACATGATAGACAAGGTAGTATATACATTATACTAAAGGCTTCTATTGTCTGATTAAGTGTTTGTCAACGTAATTAACAGATAATTTGATGATGATTCCGTGCCTTTGTTAACTTGTGTCACGTCAGTTACACTAACAAAAACATACTTACTAATTCTCCTTATCAATTAATTTTAAGAAATAAAAAAACAAGTAAACGTCCTCTCAATATTCCTGAAAGGCAAGTTTGAAGTGCGTGTGAATAGAAATCTTGAACCAACATTATCCAATCCCGGAGATAGATTGCGCGAACCTTTCAACAAAATTCGTTTTGCGCGACAAATCGTTCAAATGATTTCCTCTTGAATTCTCTGATCAAACCAGCTTGAAAATTGGACTTTCCTGATTTTGTTTACATAGCGAAGACCCGCATTATATTTTGACTATGTAATCTTATGGATCTATTTATAGGTATTACGTTGTTGTAAATCAGATTTGAATTTTATGGAGAAACATACACTTTTCACGAATTTATCTTAATCGATATCGAACAATCGTTTGTCAAAAGCGCGACTACCCAGAAAGGAGTTTCCGAAGCCAGCAATTTTTCTATAAAAATATTAGTGAATTTGTAATTTACCATACAATATGTATATAGTTACGTTGAACCTAAATGTATAATTTCTCTGCCTACTCATCTAGAAACAACGACGACGAGGTCGTGATGTTATAATGTTCATAATTCAAATCCTCTGTCTCTTCGCCCAGATTTCTAAATTAAAACTTAACATCACTTGACCAAATTTTCTTTTATATTTCAAACTTATGAAGGTGTCGTTCGGCGGAAATGCTAGACAATATCTGGTGATCTATAGACAAGCACCCATCTAAAGAATGAAGCAGATAAGATCAGAGAGCGAGGCACATCATCGACAAAGTTTAAATTAGCTTTATCAAGAGAAAGTTTTGCAAAATTAGATTGGACAAGCCAACCTTCTTAACCTTAACCTACTAACAAGCGATGCTAAATAAAAGTTTGCATTGACCCAAATAATTTGTTTAACTTTCTTCAAGACGGGAAGGTAATTAGTTTCGAGAAAAAATATTACATGATTTACAACATTATTTTCTTCTTGGCTAATATCATTGTTTTATTACTTTCTATTCTGTGATATACATATGTATAACGTTGCAAGATCTAACCCTACATACACATAACATAACGTGGTTCCTCTTAATACCTCAGAGGTGCAAATATAGAATATAACTCCCACTTTTGGTTACTACATATTGTGAGTCCCGCGTCATAGACTAAATGAGGCAATCCCCCCTCACGAGGAATCCAGGACAGTTTGTTTGTATCCCTGAGTTTGTCATGGTTTCCTTTTAATGCCGAAAACAGTAGGCGGTGTATGTGGGACTATTTTTTTAATTACTATCATCTGTAATGACCATACTTCGTGCAAATAAACGTTCTTATTCTTAAAACAAAAAAACTAAATCACAAAGAAGATACCTCAAATAATTTGCATACAGATCGTGCTCTTACGCAGCTAGGTTCCAAGTAACAAATACTAAACGATAATGCAGTTTGAAAGCCGGTATTCTTGTATTCTTTACGAATTCATCATAAATGGTCGTTTACAAACAGCGATTATTACGGAACGATTGGTGTGTAATTTAACGTGTAGTAGGTACTATTCCCCATTATTATGAAAATCATTTATTAATGTATGATTCAATGTACAGTGCTACACTTTGAATTTAAAGTATTCATGGCATTACAAAAATGCACATGGCACCTATCCATAATAACATTAGTAGTTAAATATTACACACAATATAAATTATAATATTTTTATAATAACAATCGTTAGACATACTAGACTATTGAATGAAATAAAAATTATTTCCGCACGTAAATGTACCGAGAAATACTTTACTGGTACGTGGGCTGCACGACGTCGCGTCGCCGCGACAGCGCATACTGCTCACGGGGAAAAGTCCCTCTGTGACTCGAAAGTAGTAGAGTATTCCTCGGTATATATACGCCGTTATGTTTAGTATTTCAAAATCAATGGGGAAATAAGCTTAAAAGATCAACAGCAATTAAATTCCCAGTGTTTCCACTACTCGATGGTATTACCCCCAAAGATTAGATAGAAGTAAAGCTTATAAGCCACTACTTCACCATGACGCTGGTATTCTTACCTATTTAAAGAACTTTTAAGTTTGTCTAAATTAAGACTTAATCCAATTAAACAATGAACACGCTCGTAACTTACTTGACCACTTATCATAGGATTCGGAACAAATAATAAAATATTGATTTTATATTAAAATATCATGTGCACCTCTACCTATCCCTTCAGGGAACAGGCACAAGGAGATAGCAATTAAAACTCGTAGCTACGTGCAAATGTACATCATGTAAATCTTATATAAATAAAAATTAATTACTATTCGTTAGTCTCGCTAAAACTTGAGAACGGCTGAACTGATTTGGCTTTGGAATTTTGGCCTTGAAATGTTCGTAGGAATACAGGGAAGGTATAAAAGGTGACAAAAAAATTTTTGTCGGTACAAAGTTTGCCGGGTCACCTAGTATATATATGTATAATCTTGTAATGTTGTATATGTATAATTATGCAAGAAAAGGCACCACAAAATAAACTAAATAAAAAATATCACAATTAAATAAAAAACATACCTACTAAGTTTTGTAAAACTTAAAGTGTACTTTTAACTATCTATTCCGAAAAAAGGAACATTATTTTACACGAAAACACTCAGGATAGAGTTAATAAGTACTCGTATCTAACTCACAACTCAATACTCACGTCACTCACGTGACAATTTATCAACTTTTAAACTGAGAGTAGCAAAGTTTACGACTCTAATAAAACGAATATCGCTCGTAAAGCGTCGGCTTTTCAATGTTTCTGTATTTAGTAGCAATCTATAGTATGTATGTATCTAGTTTTTCAGTAGCAAAATAATAGATGACAGGAAATGTACTTACTTACTTCACATTAATATTATAAAAGAAAGTGAAAGTTTCTTTGTTTGGATGTTTCTCCGTCAATCACACTAAACTGCCGAACGTATTTTAATGAAATTTGGTAAACAGGCCGGCCGACTTAGGTGACAGGAGGACTTTTTATCCCGATTAAATGCTCCCATAGAATAAAACAGGAATCAAATTCTACGCGGATGAAGTCGTGGGCCACAGCTAGTATTATACATATATAGCTAACATATAAGTAAGATAAACAGGAGATGACATTTTAAAGCAAATCTTTATAAGACTCAATACACTTTTAAGAACTACAATCTTTATAAGACTCAATACACGTTTCCTTAACTCACATGTCTTAAATGCTTAGTAACGTATTTCTAAACCAAATTGGTAGGTTTTTTTAAGGGGGGAAAATCATCGAATGACTACTCCCGCCTTTAGTGTCAGTCTCTTACTGACTAAAAAGCACCCCGTTCCTTCTCCTGTACATTG